GAGAGAGAGAGAGAGAGAGAGAGAGAGAGAGAAAAAAAGGAGAAAGAGAGGTTTTTATTTTCGTTTTAGACGTAGGTATTTTTCGTCCCCGTGGAGAATCAGAGAGCCTAACACTGAGCCACAGTTTCTCTCTCAAACTGAGGGTTATTGTGTGCCGTGTCTCTCTCTACGTATTCATTCAATTTCGTTAAGTTTTACGGCTCGTGCAACGCAATTCGGTCATAATATTATATATTAAATGTCTTCTCTTTACTCACCCAAACAGTTGAATGACGTGGGTAGCGGAAAGAGTGACTCTCTCTGCGGGAAGCAGTCAGGTACCATGTGGACGTCAACATCCAACATGGCCAAATTTGTCTTCGCCTCTGACGCCAGTGTGTCATACCCTGGTTTTCTGGCGTCGTACAAGTTCCAAGCATAATGAAGGTATTGTAGTATCTCCATTCCTAGAATTTTGCTTATACTGTACCATTTTTCTTTCTTTTTTGTGTATTCATTTGTCAGTGTGATTTCCCTTTCTGTCATGCGGTCAAGGACAATAAGGACACTTTCCCACAATATCCTTTCACATGGTTTTTTCCGAGTAGACAAAAAAAAAAGAAACCTATCAAAAAACAAACTATCAGAAAACAAAAACAAAAACCAAGCACAATAGCGTCATATACCTTTTCTTTTAAAACATTTTCCACTCTGTTGTCCTTAGCAACAGCTTTGGAAGATGTCAAGACGGTTCGAAGAGACAAAACCGAGTATTCATCGAAACATGCGAGTCTTTATGATAGCTACCATTCCAAACCTGTTGATCATAGATATTTCATTATTCTTCTTATTTCATTTTTTTTCCTTTACAGTTTCCTTTTTTTTGGTTAAAGATTTAAACTTAAACATGTTTCAAATTTAATTACTTTCTCCTTTAGGGACCTCTTTCTTGTTGATTACAAAAGAAGTATTTCGTTGTTTTAAACTTTTGTTTTGCATTGTATTGTTTTGCATTGTATTGTTTTGCATTGTATTGTTTTGCATTGTATTGTTTAAATTTTTTGTTGTTGATTTTTTCTTCTATGTACACTACATGTAGCTACGGTTGAAAAAAATGCTCTGCTCAGTAAAGTATATCATTTATTGTAATGGATGACTCTTCTGGGGGGGTTTTTTTGGTGGTATTTTTGCTCTGGTCTATGACAAATCCCACTTTTTCCCTCTACCCTTTATCGCTATTGTGCAATTCAAATAATTATTTCCCCACAGTTCATGTTACCCCCAATCAACTGGAGGACCTTGACAATGTACCCATGCAAAAAAACCAGCCACCTTTGCTGCTTCAGAGATGTTCTGCCCCAGAGTCTGTGATTTTTGGAAACACCATAACGTCATAACTTCCTGACTTGATACTTGATAAGGCCTGTGTGGTCCAAACAATAAACTTTTGATGAAGCGTTAAGTTCCAGTTTTACTTCTTTTATTATATCTGTAAATGTTTTTCTCATTTTTCGGGGATAACACAAATAATCTCCGTCGTAGCTATTTTTGTTGTCATTGCTGTTATTATTGTTGTTTTTGTAGTTGTTGTTGTGATCTTATTGTTGTTGTTGTTTTTGTTTTTGTTGTTGTTGTTGTTGTTGTTGTTGTTGTTGTTGTTGTTGTTGTTGATGATGATGAAACATTCTCGGCAAAAAATGCCTATTAATTTGGTCTGGTGTTATTCATTTGAGGGTTCCTCGGTTACTCTTTTAGGTAGAGACAAATTTCAGTTTAGTTCATTTTTTACAAATCCAGAAAATTCAAACCATTTGATTTCCCAGGACAGAGGTGGGTTGCAAGAAATGATCATTCTAGCTGACATCCAATCAGAAGGCCTACCGCTAGCTCTCTGCTTCACTTTTA